TCAGCCAAGGGAAATTCAAGAGCTGGCATCCAGGGGGCAGGTGTTGGGCCCATGGACATAGAGGGGAGACGTGTAAAGCCCTCTCGGGCACAAAACTGACCATGTGCTTTTATCCTCTGTCTTGTTGGCCTGAACTTGGAATCCTGCTTTCTGTTTACTGACCTTGGAGAAAGGAAGTCTATTAAAATGGGCTGTAAAACTAGGAGGAGAAATGGAAGCGGGGAGGGGGGCGGGGCAGGACTGAGGAAGCAGCATTGGGCTGGGGTGGTGAGGTAGACTGTGCTGCTCTCTGAAGCATCTGAAACTGTGGGCCTCTCTGCCAGTTTATAAGGTAGTTGGCAGGCAAAGGCCATGCCTTGTATTTCTGTGTCCCCCAAAGCACCTAGCACGGTCTCCTAATAGGCACTCGTTGGTTGCTGAATTTGACAGTGAAGAGGGTGAAGGCATGGGTCACAGCCATGATTTTATTATTTATCTTCCGACCCAAGGCCGTTAATAGTCAGGCTTTAAAACACATATATTAGTAATTTCAAGACTATATCAGACTTTTTATTACCTGTAACAATTATAGCTATACTGGCATAACACTTAGGTGTTTAGATAACTTTTCACATATGTTGTTATACAAATCTTGGGATGGCTGTTATTATTATTTCTGTTTTGCAGTTGAGGAAACTGAGGTTAAGAGAGTATAAATGTGCTTCATACTATGCCACACTGCCTCTTCGTAAACTTAACTGGATGACTTAAAAAATGTAAGTTAACTTGGACATTAATATCTATAATGTTGCTTTTAGGTACCAGTGACATAGAAAATAAACTTTTTTTTTTTTTTTTAAAGACAAGGCTGCTTTAATTTTCACGTATATTATAGCTGCCCTTCGCAAGCAAACAAACCCCTTCCGCTTGGTTGGGGAATTCAAGACGGCAGACTCTAAGGAAACGCCAAGGAGGTGTTGTCATGCAAGACCCATTAAGGAAAACGAAAATAGATAAGACCGCTTTCTAAGAGACACCCACAGAAGCTAACGGAAGCAAAGAGAGAAGCCTAACCTAATTTTATGAGCCTTTACAATTGAAAGCTAAAAGGAGAACCCTAAAATATCTAAAGTTGAAACAGCAATCCTTTTTTTATAGTGTCAGACACCAAAGAGAACACGCTACTCATGGTGCGAGAACGTGTGATTATTTTTAATGCTTATATTCCTGACTTTCGCCACATTTCTGAAGCGTTCGTTTCCTTTCTTCAGACCACATGCTTCCTCCCAAAAGGATGAGCATCTAAAGTAGAGCTCTCGGATTGGCCAGGCGTTATCAAAGGAGTTGTTAAGCGCCATGGAGTCGGTTACCACTCACAGCGACCCTATGTACAACAGAACGAAATGCCAGCTGGTCCTGCGCCATCCTCACAATCCTTGTTACGCCTGAGCCCACTGTTGAAGCCACTGTATCAATCCATCTCGTTGAGGGTCTTCCTATTTCGCAGACCCTCTACTTTTTTACCAAGCATGACGTCCTTCTCCAGGGACTGGTCCCTCCTAATAACGTGTCCAAAATATGTGAGACGAAAGCTCGCCATCCCTGCTTCTAAGAGCATTCTGGCTGTACTTCTTCCAAGACGGATTTGTTCGTTCTTCTGGCAGGCCATGGTCTATTCAATATTCTTCGCCAACACCATAATTCAAAGGCATCAAGTCTTCTTCGGTCTTCTTATCAAAGGAGAGTGGTTGCAAAACCTAAAATCTTACAGACTTGTCCATAGGTGCCATTTCCAACCACTTCCACCAGCTCAAAAATCCCAGCAGGATCCCGCAGGGAGGAGAGGTCGATGTCCAGCACACTTTTTGTAGGGGAGTCGTTCGCCATTTTCCCTTTTTTGACTCCCAAAAAGAATAACTAGAGGTGTGTTTGCGTACCGTCGGCCGAGGCCAGGCGCCATAGCGCCTGCTCGCACGGGGAGCGGGCGGCTGAGACGCCTCCTCGCGGGGCCCGGGGAGGGTGGGCGGCGGCGCAAGCTCGGCCACGGCTCGGCCCCCGTCGCGGCTCTCGCC